TCTAAAGGATACTTCCTTACATTTAAAAATCCAACCCATAATGGTAAAGGCACAAAGAAGCCAAAAAGGGCTGCAAACAGTCAAAAGTTCTGCCAAAGTTTATTCAGTTTACTACTTTTCTAAAAAAAGAGTCAATCAAATCATCAATCAGGCTATTATCTATTTTAGACAGAATTTTAACAAGGCTAAAGACTCACGTACATATAATACCATCACTACCACCATGGCACATTAAAAGGAGAAGGTGAGGAAGATGTTCCATGGAGTAATTTCAATAAAATCAGCAATAATTAAACACTAAATGCAAGACAAAATGGACTATTAAAAAAAGAAGCAGCAGCCAGGCCTCTGATGCTGGAAAAGGGCAAACGTTGGGTACCACTGGGGAAGAGGTAAAAAACCTACTGCCTCCTTCCACTACTCTGCATCAACAGAGGCAAAAGCCATCAGCCACTGAGAGAGAGACAGGAAAACCACTCATATGTAGGTTCCAAATTGATGCAAAGTAGAGGTCTGGGAGGAGGGGCAGGAAATCCACCTGCACTCTAGATCCTGAAGTAGAAGGTAGAGGTTGTTTGCATCTGGGGGACAGGTAAGAACATTAAGGAGGCACCACTCTGAATCTTAAACATATAAAGTCTGCCTAAAACTAAGGTTGGAAAAGGAAAACCAGGAAACATCCTTATTACCACCACATGGCTTATTCCAAGTAAAATGAAAGAGCAGTCTATTGCTCGGGAGTGGCATGAGAGAGAACCCTTCAGTGGCTCTGGCTGGCAGAGCCTGCTATAAGCTGAAAGCGGAGTGAGAAAATTCCTCTAGCACTCCAAGCCTTATACTGGGCACAAAGTGGCAGCAGATCACAACTGGAAGAATTTGAAGCCTGTGGTGCACCAAAAGTAACAAGAGCAACAACAAAATCCTAGCCACAAACTACAGACTTAATATTTCAACTTCCCATACTAATGACCTAAACAGAAGAAGGGGTGTAAATATTTCTGGGCATAAATATTATTTATCTCAGTCTCTACTATTCTGTTACACCAAATATCCAGCATTCAATGAATAATTGTAAGAAACACAAAAAGGCAGGTAAAAACAAATCCACAATCAAGACACAAATAGTCAACAGAACCAGACCCAGAGATGTTGAGACTATCAGAGATCCAAAAAAACCAAACCCATTGCCACTGAGTCGATTCCAACTCATAGCGACCCTACAGGACAGAGTAGAACTGCCCCATAGGGTTTCCAAGGAGCGCCTGGTGGATTCAAACTGTTGACCTTTTGGTTAGCAGCCGAATTCTTAACCACTACGCCACCAGGGTTTCCATAACAGAGATAGGCTTTACAATAACTATGATTAATAAGCTAAAGGATATGGTGAAAATGGTGAACAACATGTATGAACAGATGAAGAATTTCAGCAAAGAAAATGAAATTATGAAAAGGAGTCAAATAAAAATGCTAGCTATGAAAATTGCAATATCACAAATAATTCTTTTGATGAGCTTCTCAGCAGAAGGGACACAGAAGAGGAGTAAGTGAACCTGAGGCTAAGACAATAGGAATCATCCAAACTTTTGAAACAAAAATTGAAGAAAAAAAAAAGATTGAAAAATATGGGACATCTAAGAGCTATAAGACAATATCAAAAGTCTAATATATGTGAAATTAGAGTCTAAGAATGAACACAAAGAGAAAACTGGGACAGAAAGAAATATTTTAAGAGATAATAGCTGAGATATTTCCAAAATTAGACAAGAAAATATAGATCAAACAAGCTCCAAAAAACTTTTAACATATCTGTGTCTTTAAATGTAATAGCAGGTTCTTGTAGAAAACATAGTAAATCCTGCTTTTTTAATCCAATCTAGCAATTTCTGCCTATTAATTAGATTATTTAGACCTGTGCTGTCCAGTATGGTAGCCACTAGCCACATGTGTCTGTTTAAATTAAAATTAAATTGAATAAAATCCAAAATTCAGTTCTTCAGTTGCACTAGGTACATTTCAAGTGCTCAGTAGAAATATGTGACTGGTGGCTACCATATTGAACAGCACATATATAGAACATGTCTATCATTACAGAAAATCCTATTGAACAATGTTGGTTTAGAGCATTTACATTTACTGTAATTACTGGTATGGTTAAGATTTAATCTACATCTTCCTATTTGCTTTCTAATCGTCCCATTTCTTCTTCATTTTTTCCCTCCCTCTTTTCCTGCTTTCTTTTTCATTAATCACTGTTTTTTATGATTCTATTTTTCTCTGCTATTGGTTTACTGGCTATACCTCTGTTTTACTTTTTTTAATAGCTGCTTTACAGTTTATATTAAACTTCTTTAACCTATCAGTCTATCTCCAAATAATATACCCCTTCTTTTTACTGTACCATATTTTTACACAACTAACGTGCACCTTCTATGTTTGTTTGCTAACTGTGCCCTCCCCCAGCAAGGTGTTTTTGTAAGCATGCTATGCTAATTTTTTTACAGCAACATTATTAAAAAAATTGGCATAGTGGCAAATTGGCACAGGGCACAGCTGGCAAACAAACGTAGAAGGCGCACGTTATTTGTATACAGTACATCAGCAAACTTTCCTTCCCCTCTGCCTGTCCTTTGTGCTATTGTTACCACGCATTTTACTTCTGCCTGTGTTATAAAATTCACAATACACTATTATTACGCATGACTGTTTTCCATGATCTCTCAAATGCATTTCTAATGAGAAAATTACTGAAAAATGCATAGAGGAGTACTATTTTAAATACTTTGTCTTCACTGACATTAAAAGTAAAGACGTTAAGAAAAACATATGCTCAAGGCACCGAATTCTGGCTCTGGCAACCCAGTAAATGATGAAAAATCAATCTCTATATCACCTATAACTTTTTACATCACAAAATCAAATCATGTCTGCCTCCCTAAGCTTCAGTTTTAATATTTAGGATAATTATTTGGTAAATTTGTTACCTCAAATTCAAAAGTGATTCTAGGTTTTATTTCACATCCCCTCAACTTCATGTTTAGGTGCCGCAGAACTTTAAGAGAATAGAGAACTAAAGAAAATCTGACATTACAATTTACCCAAGAGCAGATAACTAAATTATCTGTAATTTTAATAGTAATCTTACCTTGGAATCTTTATATCCATATGTAAAATATTATACATCATGTTCAAGATTTTGGTTTTGAAGATACATGTAAGTTTTACTGTTTCATCTTTTTTTTTTTTTTTTGCTGTTGGGATCTCTTTTTTTTAATTATTTGGTCTCGTATATTATTTATTGTCAAATCATACTGTTTACACTATTTTCTTTTACTAAGAAATGATGGTTTCTAAGTCATTTCTTATTCAATAGCTTAGGTTAAGAAACCAGAATGAAGAAATTATTTGCCGTATCCAGCAGAGCCTGTGCCTGTATTTGTATACCTTTCAAATATACAAATATCCACTTGCTCCACTGGGACAGACTGCAATCATCTCCATCAGTCACAAAAGCCATGGTCATAGGTTCATTTCCAAAATGGACACTGTGATGGTTAATGTTATATGGCAACTTGGCTAGGCTATGATTCTCAGTGGTTTGGCAGACACTGGACTGACACTGCTCTTGTATCATGTATATAATGTAATCACCTCCATGATGTGATCTGATGTGATCAGCCAATCAGTTTAAAGAGGAGTTTCCTCGGGAGTGTGACCTGCCTCCAGTATATAAATGCATGTTCTGGCAAGGCTCACTCTCTCACTCTCTCTCAACCCTGAACTTTTCTCATCGCCTGACCTCCAGTCCTTGGGACTTAAGCCTGCAGAAGTCTGCAGCCTGCCACCTGATCTTCAGATTTTGGGTTCATCAGCCCCTGCAACCACGTGAGCCAGCAGTTGTCTTCAGCCTGCCACCTAACCCATGGATTTGGGACCTGCCAGCCCCCACAACTGCATGAGCCATTTCCTTGAAGTAAATCTCTATACATATTTATATATATGCTTCACTGGTTTTACTCCTCTAGAAAACCCAGACTAAGACAGATGTGTACAGTATGACTGTTAAGCCAGTGAGCCAGCCCTACATTATACCTTTTGACAAAATATGTTCTGTGGCTCATTTTTCATAAATGTTTTACTGTAGACAGCAGACAGTGAGTAAATCTACTCTTTTTTTATGGCAGGGAGCCCAACTTTTATATTTTTACTGGCTTACTACTGACTAAATTAGGCCCCAATTTCTAAAAAAACATGGTGAGCTGAAAATGAACAGCTACTTCAGTATGGCTGCCAAGGACAGCCTTAAAAGGGAACTAATGCAATCCAGTCTCAATATCAAGAGACCTAACAAGACCATAGAAAAATAAATGTACTAAAACTTAACTTTGTATTAAGTACTGTTCATTTGTTAGAAAAGAGTAAAGTTCTGTAAACTGAAAAATGTAAGAATATTAAAGTGTTAGTTAAGAACAGCGAAAACAAGAAGGATGTAGAGCATAATTCTAACTCACAAAAAAAAAAAAAAAA